GTTGTTATCGTTATTATCGTTATTATTATCTATATTATCGTTTTATCTTTTTTGTCGTTATTTTTATTATTATCATTATTATTATTATGATTATTATTTTTAATACTTGTATTAATATCGTAATTACTGTCTTTGTTATTGTTACTTTTATTATAATGGTTATTTACATTATTATCGTTATAATCCCTCATATCGTTAGTTATATTAATTTTGTTATTATTATTATTATTATTATCATTATTTTTATCGTTTTTGCGTTATTATCATTATTATCGTTGTAATCGTTATTATTGTTATTATTATCGTTATCTTCTTTACTATCGATACTATTGATACTATTTTCGTTATTATCGTTAATATCGTTAATATCGTTATATTCTTTATTGTTATCATTATTATCTTTATTTTCTTTCTTATCGTAATTATTATTATTATCTGCAACACTATCGTTATTAATGTTATTATCATTATTATCGTTAATATCGTTATTAACATTATTATCGTTATGATCGTTAATTTAAACATTACTATCAATATTGTCGATACTATTATCATGATCGTCATTATTGACGTTATTAAAGTTATTAACGTTATTATCGTTATTATCGTTATTTATATTACTATTGTTCTATTTGTTATTATTGTTATTATCATGATTATAATTATTATTATCATTATTAATTTCGTTATTAACGATTTAATATTTATAATAAAGCTATTATCGTTATTATTACCCTTATTATTACTATTATTGTTATTATTATTATTATCGTTTTTTACGATATTACCTTTATTATCCTTATTACAATTATTATTATTATTATTATTATAATTATTACTATTACCGTTATTATCGTTATTATCGTTATTTTCTGTATTATCGTTTTAAAGGTATTATTACCGTTAAAAGCTTTATTATCGTTATTATTATTATTATTATTGTTATTATTATCGTTATTAACGTTGTTACCGTAATTATCGTTATTATCTTTATACTCGATAGTATCTTTATTATTGTTATTTTCCTAATTATCCTAATTATTATTTTTATTATTATTATTACTATTATTATCGTTAGTTTATCGTTTTTGTCGCCGCTGTTATGATCACTATTATTATTTTCCTCATTATTATCGTTATTAGCGTTATTACAGTTATTGTCGTTATTATTGTTTTTAGTATCGTTATTGTTGTTTTCATTATAAATATTATTTTTGATATTATCCTCGGAATTATCGTCGCTCTTATAATTACTATCATTATTGTTATTATTACTGTTATTAACGTTATTACCGGTATTAGCGTTGTTAGTGATATTATTGTTATTACTTTTATAACTGTTAATTTTATATTCAACGTTATTATTATTTTTATCATTATTACTGTTATTATCGTTATTACTTTCATAACTTAATTGTACTATTATCGTTATTATTATTACAAATATTATTATTAATATAAATATTATCGTTATTTTTATCGTTTTAATCGTTAATGTAGATATTAATTTTATTTTACTCATTATTATCGTGATTATCGTTGTTACGGTAATAATTGTTATTACCGTAATTATCGTTATTATCGTCATTATCGTTATTTCTATTAATATCGTTATAATTTTTATTATTATTATGTTTGTTATTATTTTTATTATCATTATTATTAATATTATGATTATTATTATCGTTATTATTGTTATTATCGTTATTTCCGATATTAAAGTTATTACTGTTTTTATCGTTGTTATCGTTATTATCCATACCAACGATATTATTTTTATTGTTATTTTTATAATTATCGTTATTATTATCACTATTTTTATCATTACTGTTATTATTATTATTATCACTAATATTATCATTACTGTTATCATTATTATTATTATCGTTATTATCGTCGCTGCTATGATTAGTATTATTATTATTATCGTTATTATCGTCGCTGCTATGATTAGTATTATTATTATTATCGTTATTATCGTCGCTGCTATGATTAGTATTATTATTACTGGTATTATTATCGTCATTGACGTTATTATTTTATTAATCGATATTATTGTTCCTATCGTTATTATCCTTATTACGGTTATTATTCTTATTATCATTGTTTTTACTATAATCCTTTATTTTTCAATTATAATTATTATTATTGTTATTATTGTTGCTGTTATCGTTGCAACTATTATTATCATTATTTTTATCGATATTAACATTATTACCGATAATATCTTTACTATCTTTATTAACGCTGTTATCTTTATTATCGTTTTTTCTATTATTATCAATTTTATTATTAACATTATTATTATTATTATAATTATTATCGTCATTATTATTGTTATTGCCGTCAACAACGATATTATTATTATTATAGGAATTGTAATTATATATTGTAATTATATATAAATTGTAATGTAATTATGTATTAGTAATATGTAATTATGTATTAATTGTAATTATATATAAATAATAATGTTATTATTATTATTATTAAGTTTATTATTGTTATAATTATTATTATCGTAATTATTATCGTTATTATCGTTTTATCGTTATGAACGTTATTAAAAATTCTGTCGCTATTATAGTTATTATCCTTCTTATTGCTATGGCTGTTATTTTCGTTATTATATTTTTTATTATTATAATTATTATTGTTATCGATCCTATTATCGTTATTATCGCAGTTTTGGTTATTTTCATTAGTATCGTTATTATTATCATAATTTCAATTATTATCGTTATATTCGTTAATATCGTTATTATCGATATTAACTTTATTACCATTATTTTTTCTTCATCGATATTATTATTATTATTATTATTACTACTATAATTCTTATTATTATTATCGTTGATATTATCGGTTTTATAGATATTTTCGTTATAATTGTAATATTCATTATTATCGTTATTATTGTCGCTGTTAACGTTACTAATATTATTATCGCTATTATTATTGTTATTAACGTTATTATCGTTATTATCGCTATTACCGTTATTATCGTTATTATCACTTTTATTTTTATTACCGATATTATCCTTATTATTGTAATTATCCTTATTGTTATCGATATTTTCGATAATTTTATTATTATCAATATTACATTTATTATTATTATTATTATTATTATTATTATTATTATTAAGGTCATTGTTTTTACTATTATTCTTATTATTATTATTATAGTTATTCTCGCTATTATAGTTATCGTTATTATTATCGTCATTATCGTCATTAGCGTTATTATCATTAATATTGTTACTATAATAGTTATTTTTAATATCGTTATTAACGTTATTATCGTTATTTATACCGTTATTGTATTTATTATCATTATTACCGTTATTACAATTGTTATTATCGTTATTATCGCTATTATTATAATTATCCTTCTTATTATCCGTATTAACGTTTTTAACGATATGATCGTTATTATTATTATAATCGTTATTGTCATTAATATCGTTATTATATTTATTATTAACGTGATTATAGTTATTATACTTATTATTTTCGTTATTATCGTTAATATTGTTATTATTTCCGTTATCACCGTTATTATTATTGTTATAACGGTTATTATTATTATTATCGCTATTATTTTCTTTATTACCATTTTAATCGTAATTATAATAATTATCGTTATTATTATCATTATTATAGCCATTATCGGTATTTACGCTATTATCGTCATTATCGTTATCATCGTTATTATTATAATTGTCGTTATTTTTTTCGTCATTATCTTTATTACCTTTATTATCGTTATTTTCGTTATTATCGTTATAATATTTATTTTCGATATCTTTATTATTTTCGTTCTTATTATTATTATTATTATAATCGTTAATAACGTTTATATAATTACAATTATAGTAATCGTTATTTTTATTCTTATCGGGATTATTATTATCATTATTATAGTCGCTGCAATCGCTAATTTCATTTACATTTACATTATTATCATTGAAAACGCTATTACCGTTATTATCGTTATTATCATTATTATTATCCTTATTATCGTTATTTTCGTAATTATTATCATTAAACTTATTATTATTTTTATTATCGTCATCACCATTATTGATGTTAATATCCTTATTATCGTAATTATCCTTATAATCACTATTATTGTTATTTTTATTATTATCGTTTTTTTATCCTTATTATCGTTATCAACATCATTATCGTTGTCATCGTTATTATCGGTATTAACGTTATTATTTTTATTAACGTTAATAACGCTTTTATCGTTATTTTTATTATTATTTTTATTATTAATACTATTAACATTGTTATTATTATTATTATCGTTATTATTATCGTTGATATCGTTATTATCGTTTTAATCTATATTTTTATCGATGTTATCGTTATTACCGTTATTATCATTATTTTCGTTATTATTACCGTTATTACTGTCATTATCGTTATTATCATTATTCTCGATATTACCGTTATATTCGTTCATATTATTATTATCCAAATTATCATTGTTATTTTTGTAATTATCGCTTTATCGTTATTTTTGCTATTATCGATATTACTGCTAAGATTAATACTTATATTATTATTGTTATCGTTATAATAATCTCTGTTATCTTTCTATTATAATTATCGTTATTCACCTTATTATAGTTATTCTGGCTATTATAGTCTTTATCGTCATTATCTATATTATTAACGTCACTAACGTCATTACCGTTATTATTATTATAATCGTAATAATTATTATTATTTTTATTATTATCGTTATTACTGTTATTATCGTTATTTAAGTATTATTGTGACTATGATCGTTAATACCGTAATTATCATTATTTCCATTATTTTCGTTATTATCATTATTATCGTTTATTTCGTTATTATTACCGTCATTAAGGTTATTATCGTTATTACCGTTATTACTATTGTTATTATCGTTATTATAGTTATTATTTGCCGATGAAGGAAGTAGGTAAACGGCAAGGGCGGATGCTTCATTCCCGACCTTATAGCCAGAAGCTCTCGCAACAATCGGGGTAGTTGCAAGGATGATTACCCCCCACTTCCAGAGGCACCATGTTCGGAGACGGCCAGGCACTCTGGAGGAATAATTTTGAACATATGGAAGAACAAAGCACCAAAAAACTAAATACACAGAACGAAATAGACAATAAACAACAAAACACCCCAGAACCACCTGGAAAAAACATTGCTACCTAAGGCGATAAAAACGTAGGCTCTCAGCCTGCGAAGGGGACACCACAAGATAGAGAAAGAGAGAAACTCGCGCAAGCTAAATTACTCCTTGCTAAAATGAAGCTGGCTATTACTAGACAGCCAAACGTAAACAAGGAGATTAAGCAAGGGCTCCCAGAACTGGAAGATATCATAGACAGTCTCAAGTTCATGTACAAATTTCGAGAAAAGGTCAATAAGGGAGAGAGGATCCTCGCCCGAGTTTCACAGAGCCCTAGGTCAAATTCTACGACTGATGCCGGCGCAGTTAAGAGAGTAGCTTCAAGCCCGCCGCAGTTGCCTGAAGAAAGCCTCAAAAGACCGAGGCAAGAGGCGACGACGATCGAATCCACCAAGTGGACGGAGGTCTTCAAGAAGAGGAAAAATAAGGAAAAACCAGGGAAGAAGGCGACGAAACACCTACGTCAGGAGAAAAAGAAGCAGAGCAAATCGGAGGATAGCCCGAGAAAGAGAACTAGGCCGGACGCAATTCTCCTGAAACTTGCGCAAGGAAAATCTTACGCAGACGTAGTCGGAGACATCCACCAGCGCTTCAAGACCAGCGTCGCAGGGGTAGACATTAGATCGATCTGGCAGACTAGAACCGGAGGGGTTCTCCTCGAACTAAAGAAGACCACTGTGGATATCAGGGGCTCATTCGCGGAAACCCTGAGAACAGAGGTAGGAGAAACGAGCAGCATCACGGAACTGGTCCCTAGAGCTACACTGAAGATGCGGGACTGTGATTGTTGAATATCGTCGATAGAAGTCGAGGAGGTCCTAAAGAGGACTCTGCCAGACTACGCGGGGAGACTCGAGGTTAGAGTGACAAACCCCAACGCGAGACAACAACGCCAAGCATTCGTTAAAATAGAAGAGGAAGTTGCTGCGAAGCATTTAAAGGCCGGACGAGTACTGGTCGGCTTTGGCAGCTGCAGGGTCAGGCAAAGAACAGAAGTGAGGAGATGCTTCCGCTGTCTCGACTATGGTCACTATAACGTCTCGTGCAAGGTACCTGATCGCAGTAAGTTTTGCTACTTCTGCGGCGGCACGTGGTACAAGATCAAAGAGTGCAAGGTCAGCGAGCCTACTTGCTTCTTGTGCTCAAATAGCGGTGTTGAAACTAGGAAGCACCTGGCGGGATCAAGGGCCTGCAAAGCTTTCTAGGAGGCTCTTGCAACAGCCAAAAAGAGGAAAAAAGGATGAAAGTACTTCATGGAAACCTCAATAGGAGCAAGACAGCGCACCATCTACTGACCCAGCTCTGCTCTGAGAAAAGAGCTGATATTGTTCTATTCAGCGAACAGTACCAGGACAGAGCAGGAGTAGGATGGTACGCAGACGAATTGGGCAACGCGGCTATCTGGATCCCAGATCCCCGACTAATACATGTGTCGGACCAAGGATCCGGACGCGGTTACGTTTGGGTGAGACATAACTTGACGACATATGTCAGCGAATATCTCACCCCGAACGACCGGATAGACGACTTCCAGACCAAACTGGATGATCTGGAAGACGCGCTGCGGGAAATGCAAGGGGATCTCATTGTGGCTGGAGACCTCAATGCCAAAGCTCACGAATGGGGGGAGGCCAGACCGGACTCCAGAGGAAGACGAATCATGGAGGTGGCGTCGAGACTGGAACTATCAGTACTCAACACAGGTTCGACGTCAACCTTCCGCAGGCCTGGCTACAGAGAGACTATCCCGGACGTCTCTCTAGCCAACGAACACCTTGTGGCAAAAGTCGCAGGCAGGCAGGTGATCGAGGATTATACCGGGAGCGATCATCAGTGCATTCTATTTGATGTATACGATAGGAGGCCAGCCGTGACAAGTGTAGAGCGACCCCCACGGTGGAACATTGCAAGAATGAATCGAGAGAGGCTGTCTTCAGTCATAGATAAAGATTGGAGATCCCTTCAAATTGCCTCCGCGAGTCTATCGCCAATTGAACAAGTCAGGATGATTACTGCAGCTCATCCAAAAGGCTTGCGCCATAGCGGTGCCCAAGAATTGCACTAAACGGCACAAACGTCCAACATACTGGTGGACGAACGAGATCGTATATCTTCGCAAGAAGTGCTTAAGGCTTCACCGTTTAGCATAACGAGCGAACAGACGCGATCTCGACGCTGCTCCCTTGGCCGCAGAGTATCAAGTGGCCAAAAAAGCTTAGAAGAGGACCATCAAGGCCAGTCAACGACGGTACTGGATGGAGCTGTGCCTGGATGTGGACCAGAATCCGTGGGGATTAGGGTACCAGATCGTCACTTGCAAACTGGGGACTAACACACAAGGAATCCCGCAGGACGCGAGGACGTTGGAAAACATAATTCATACCCTATTTCCATCACATCCGAAGAGTGAGATTCGTACGGCGGCTTCTGGTAGCCCAGAAGGGCTGCAATTTACAGAGGAGGAGCTACTCAAGGCCGCATCTTTCATGCGGAACAAGAAAGCTCCAGGACCAGACGGCCTTCCAGCGGAAGTAATGAAAGCCGTCGCGCAGAGTCATCCCAAGCTCTTGCTAAACATGTACAACATGTGCCTCAGGGAGGGCATCTTCCCCGCCCAGTGGAAGAAAGCCAGACTTGTGCTCATAAGCAAGGTCAAGGATCTAGCAGATGCCGCTTCGTCATACAGACCTATTTGTATGCTCGATACAGCTGGCAAGTTCCTGGAGAAGCTGCTTAGGCCACGGCTGCACGCACCCTTATGAGCAGCGAGGGATGTTTCTGCCCGCCAGTATGGATTCCGATCTGGCCTCTCCACTATGCAGGCAGTCCAGGAGGTTCTCACGGCCGCTAATATGATGGAGAGAATCATCTAACTCGCCCTTTGAGTCTGCTGGCCACCTTAGACGTGAGAAATGCCTTTAACTCCGTCAGGTGGAACTTGGCAATGGAAGCGCTCGAACGTAATTTCAGCGTCACGGAGTACCTACTTCGAATACTCGGGGACTATCTAAACGAGCGCTTTCTAGAATACCGCGATGGTCCAAGAAGCTTGGAGTTAACATCGGGGGCAGCCCAGGGTTCCATACTGGGACCGGAAATCCGAAATATTTTCTACGTATGGCAGTCCCTTAAGGTGCTTTCTTGGTTGGGTACGCAGATGACCTTGCAGTTGTCATAACCGCAAGGAGGGGCACAGCAGCTGCTCAACCAGGTCATGCGCAGAGTCATCTCCTGGATGGAAGATCACGGGCTATCTCTGGCAGCCCAGAAGACAGAGATCGTGCTACTTACAAAGAAACGCATCAACACCTTTCGCAGCTTCATTGTAGGAGACACGGCGGTCCAGGCTAAGTCGGCTGTCAAATGTCTAGGTGTAATGCTCGACAATAAGCTGAAATTTGGAGAGCACATAATTATGGCAGCCGACAGGACGGCAAAAGTAGTAGCATCGCTTGGCACACTCATGGCCTATATCAACAGACCCCGACCATGCATAAGGCGACTACTGATACGCGCAGCCGAAGCAGTGATACTGTACGGTGCGGAAGTTTTGGCCGAGGCGCTGCGACACGGGAAATAACGCTAGCGCATAGTAGCGGTACTGTGGAGGGGCGCTCTACGAATCGCTTGCTCCTACCACACGTTCTCTGAGCCCGCGGTGCAAGTGGTCGCGGGTGTAATCCCGATTGATCTACTACCCCAGGAGAGACAATTCGTTCACCAGCAAAGGCCCGTTCTGGGAAAGGAGGAGGCATCAAGGCTCGCCAGGTCTACTAGCATCGAGACCTGCCAAAGCAGATGGGAGCAGGAGCTTCGGGGCAGATGGACGGCCCGACTCATCAGTCGGCTAGACAGCTGGCTAAACAGAGAGTGGGGGAGGTCGACTTCTACCTCACTCAATTTTTGACAGGGCATGGTCTGTTCTGCTCCTACCTCGCAAAAATGAGGAAGGTAGCTGACGGCAACTGCTCCTATGGCGACTCGACCGTCGACGACGCCCACCACACATTCTTCAAATGTGTTAAGTGGAGCGGCGAACTACTCGCTTTGGAGAAAGTCCTCGGAAAAATCTCGCCAGACAACGTTGTCGAGAAATTGTTCCGAGGTCAGGAGGAATGGGGCAAAGTGGTCCGGTACGTCAGGACCACCTTTCGCAGAAAAAAGATGGAGATGGGTGGCACATTGACCTGCCCCCAACGTTGCTCCAGGTTCCTGCCCCGTAGAACTGACGGGAGAGTCCCGTAATGGGACCTGATCCAGTGGCGCCATCTCGAAGTAATGCCATATGGCAGTGCCGGGATGGTTTCACTATGCCACTAGGATGGACATGAGTTTAGTCGGTAGTGCCTATTCCAAAGGTGAGCCTGACACTTCAGGGACCTCAATGGGGGAACCAAATAGTGAAGGGTTCCTCTGGCGGGCAGGATCCCTGGGTTAGTGCGTAAAGATTGGCATTCTCAGACCATCAAAAAAAAATTATTATTATTATTGTTATCGTCATTACAATCGTTACTGTCGTTAGTACTTTTATTATCTTTATTTTTATCGGTATTATCGTTATTATTGTTATTATCTTAATTATTAAATAGGATAATTCTTCTAATTATTATTTTCTTTATTATAGCTATAATCGATATTATTAACGTTTTTATCGTTTTTCTCGTTATTATTATCAGTATTATCGTCTCTCCTATAATTACTATCATTAATATCGTTATTATTAATGTTATTATCGTTATTATTTACGCTGGCATTGTTACTAAAATTATTTTCGTTACTATTTCGTTATCATCGTCCTTTTATTATTATTGTTATTGTAATTATTATTATACTTATTATTATTATTATTATTATTATTATTATTATTATTATTATTATTATTATTATTATTATAATTATCGTTATTATCGTCGCTGTTATCCTTACTTTTATTATATTCGTTATTTAATTTA